TAGAAGGAAGTTCTGTGAACTCAGAATTCAAAGCATTTAAAAATACCTTTTTATTACAAAATTATTAGGCTTATTAATAGAAAATTCAGAGACTACAGAGAAAGAGGTGAAAAGAAAGAATCCATTGTTCTACCACCTGATCTTAATATCTTCAAACCTGGTCTTTTTGTTGTTGTTGTTGTTGGCTGGCCAGTGAGGGGATATAACCCTTGACCTTGGTGTTATAACACCGTGCTCTAACCAAACGAGCTAACTGGCCAGCCCCCTCAAACTTGATCTTAATATTTGGGTGGGCTTCTCTCCTGCTTTTTAGTTCACAGGATTTTAAAGAAAACAACAACATAAATGTAGTCATTCACACACAACAGTTTTGTATCCTGTATATTTACTTAACATCTCATCATAAAGGTTTTGCATATTCCCACATTCTCTTCTTTAGTAGCTGCACAGTATCCATCAAGAAGAAAGATTATGGTTAAAAATTGCCTTCTGGATTTTTTGCTGCATTCACATGGGGAAAGAGAGAAAGAAAAGGTGGCTGGGAAAAGCTTTTTCTGTTTAGGATTCCAAGAAAAGCATCTCCAGGTCTGGTTTGATATTGGGTTATCAGTCTGGTGTGCCTCCTAATCCTGACGTTCAAGCCAGCACAAAAGAATCTGGTCCCTTGGCAGGGGCTGACTGCTCTGCCTCCAGCAGTGCCCATGCTCCTTAATTTGAAATGAAAACGAATTTTCCATCAAAGGAGAGGGAAACTGGAGTTAAAACCTAACCATTGGAACTGCAGCACAGAAAAGTCCTTAAACCTGCTTCTTCAAACATAGCAGCTAGGAATGGTACTGATTGCAGAATACTTGTCAGTAAGAGGGGAAAGTTATGAAAGGATAACTTTGTTTGGTAGAAGCTGCCTTGCTGTAGTCAAGCCACACACTTTCCACTTTGAATTATGTATTAACTAGTACTGCAGCTTAAGCTACCTTGAAGAGAAAGCCCTATTCAGTCAGCTGGGGGAACATAACCTGCTACTATTTGGAAGCCATTTTAAATTCACCTTCATTAGCTTTAAGAAGTTGATGGGATGAAGCCCGGAGGGATGCAGGGAGGCCTGGGCAGCTGAGCTGACATTCTCCATCCTGTTTTGCTTTGCTAGGGATTATGGGCTGGATGCCAGGGAGGGGCACTGAAGTGTGAGGTCAGAGGGTTGAGGGGGCAGCCGGTGGAACTTGACTGCCCCTCCTTCCTCCTGCCCCCTCCGCTGCTCTAGTCACTCACCAGGAGACCAGCAGAGTAGAACAGTGCAAGTGAGGGGCGCCTGCTTACTGCCAAGGTTGTTCCTCAGCTTCAAGCACCAGGGGTGAAGAAAGACTGAACCTGCAGACTCCTATTGGTGCAAGGTATTTGAGCATTTCATGAGTTTTGATTTTGAAAATTAGTTCAAAGATGAAATCCTTGTTTGTGGAATCGTCGGCTTCAATTACCTCAAACCCTGCAAAGCTTTGAGAAAGGCCCCTTCAGCTCTCCAAACTGAGTCTCTTTCTCTTGATTAGTCCTCCACCCACCTTCGGTTGTGCCCAAGGTGGTTGTAGTGGACTGAATTATGTCCCCCCAAAACTCACTGAAGCTCGAATTGTGTCCCCCAAGTTTATGTATTAGAAACTTAGCCCCCACTGACTGTTAAGAGGGTGGGAAATCCTATTACAGTAACTGAAAGGTGGGCCTTAAAGAGGTGATTGGATTGTGGGACTGTGCAGTAGTGAATGGATTAAAACTGGTGGTCAGGGGCATGGTTCTGAGGGCTTTAAAAGAAGAGGAGAGTCTGTCGCTCTCTCTGCTTCCACCACCTTGCAATGTGAGACCCCTGGGTCACTGTCACCACCACAAGATCGACTTTGGACTTCCCAGTCTCAGAAACTGTGAGCAATAAATTTCGTTTTTCTTTATAAACCTAGTTCCAGGTATTTTGTTATAGCAACACAAACGGACTAATACAGTGGTTGACAGCACTTGCCCTCACCTTCAGTAGCACTGGCAGTTCTCATCGCAGCCCCTTCTCAGCCCTTTGTTGGTTTACCTGCCGCCTAATACATCCTCCGTACCTCATTTCTAATCCTTATCCTTGCCACAAAATGCCACCAGCCCATCATCCCCAGACAGTACTTGAAACCTATCACTACCTTGCTCAGACATCTTTACTAGTTCTCTGTACCCTACCACATGGAATCTAAACTCCTCATTCAGCCAGTCTAGGCACTCCACAACCGGTCCCTGGCATCCCCTCCTCATAGCAGCTAGAACTGCTCAGGCACTTCCTATATAGCAGGCGCTGTAAGGAGTTCTTTAGGGTAAATGTCTGGTTTCATCCAGGCCTCTCTTTGTTGTCCTTCAAACACGCCACACCCTTCCTATACCTGTTCCTGTACTAAAGCTATTCTTCCCATCTAGAATGGTCTTACCTCTCTATACAGCAGCTCACTTTCTCCATGAAACTGCCCAGCCCATTCTAGCTCACAGAGATCCCTGTCCTGAACTCCGCAAACTCTCCTAGCTTGATTCACTCATCAACATTTAATTATAAACTACCATTTTCAATGTTTTAATTTTTCAAGTGTATTTGTCTTCAAAATGGATAAACTTTTATTTTAATTTTTTTAATTTAATTTTTTATTGTAACAGTTGGATGTAATATCTGTGGGGTACAGAGTTGAATATCAGTACTTGTGAGCAGTACAGAATAATTATTATATTCAATAATATACACCATCATTTCTATTCATGGCCCTTTACCAATTCCTCCATCCCTCTTCCCTTACCCCTTCTAGTAATCTCAGTTCCAAAATGGATAAACTTTCAGATGGCAGGGAGCAGCCTGAGACCTCTGGGTGCCACGGCACTGCCCTCTGCTCAGAGCAGGTCTTCAGCACTTGTGAAATGAGTGTGGAAGTGCAGCAGGAGTTTTCTACTACTGGGCCAAATAGGTTTATCCTCTGGAACCTGTGTAATAGCCAGTTCAGGAACATCTGAATTCATGTTTTTAAGTGATTGGGAATGGAATTAGTCCTATTTCTAAATCATCAGTGGTAAGCAGAGATAAACTTGAGCCTTCTTGTATCAGCCTCTTAAAGAATCTCCCACCCACCTCCCCAAGAAGGGATGAATGCAAATAGGGCAGCACAAACTGGGTGCCGATTACAGGCAAATCCTCCTGGCCACAAAGTGAAGGTGAAGGTGAAGACTCTTATCTGCCTGATAATACCAGGTCCCTGGCCCTGTAGATCAGAGAAGGGGAGTTTGCTCCCCAGGGGAAGCCATTTAGGGGGCAAAGCCAGTTGGGATGAGCAGAGTGTTTATTGTTCTCAGGTTGTTACATCTGGGCCCACCGTTCATTTTGGAGGTTTTGATTGACTAGTGAGGTTGCGCTGAGCCAGCCCCATCCTTTGGAAAACTCTCTGGAGCTGGCAGTGAGACCAGCAATAAGCCTATGGGACATAGTTGAAGCATGAGATGATCCTGGACCAGCCCCTGGGAAGCAACTTGCACTCAGAGAAGTCATGTTGCTATTGTGCTGAGGGCAGAAAGGATCTTTCCAATCTGGCTGCTCCATCCCTGGGGCTTCTAAACAGGTCACGTCCAAGCCAGTTGGCTGGGTATGTTTCATAGACACATTTTGCCTGGCCTGAGGAGTGTGGTTTTTTTGTTTGTTTTGTTTTGTTTTTCTCCCAACATTTCAATTAATTGCCAATACTTAAAAATTAGGAAATTTCACATAAAATCAAAATTTCTGGCTTCTCTTGACAACAGAGCAGCTGGCCATTCTGGGCCCTACCTTTACAGGGAGATGACCCTCTAAATGGGGATTTGCGCACTACCAGGCTGCTTGTTTCCCCTTATCTAAAATTTTACAGATTGCCAATTTGGATGGGAGATAGGATCAGAAAGATCCTCAAGTCTCCAGCAACTCCAGGCTCTGTGATACCTCCAGATGTGGAGGAGGTGGCCCAGGGCTCCAGGAGACCATAAAGCCATAGTAGAGACAAGGCATTTTTCACTTATCCGAACTCTGATCGCTGAACAAATGTCCTGTCAGTGGGTGCTCTGTAAGGGTGGGCGTGAAGGATACATAGCATGGGTAAAGGATGCTGCTCTCTAGCTGAGGTTTACTGAACACTTACCCTCAGCCAATCTCTTCAAACCTTGTAGTTATCCTTGGAACAACCCCCTTTCCGTATGAAGTCACTGAGGCTTACTGTCTCAATTTGTGACAGAGCTGGCTGGCTGACTCCAGACCCCTCCTCTTAACCAGGCTACCACTTCTCTCTCCATCTCTGGAAGGGCCCCTCAGGCCGTCTGAAGGTCAAAACACATTCCCATCGTGGATTCAATACCAGTTCTTAAAAAATACATGAAAAAGAAACCATACAGCACATTAGTAAAGATTTTCTCAAGCAGAAGTGTGAAATCATTTGATTTTTGCAGTGCAAGATGGGAGTGAGTGGAGAAGGTGTGCCTGGGGTCTTTGCTGGCTTGGGGGGCACAGTGAGTGAGGGTGGGCAGGCAAGTCCTTGAGCCCCTTCACTTCTGAGGAGCAGCAGCTTATAAACTGCAACTCAGGTGCCTGTAAATGTGTTGCACCTTCAGAAGAAGTGATGGAAATTGTCTTAAGTGTGTTTGGAAGACATGTAGATTCATTTTTTTACTAGTCTTTAATTATAATTTCTCTTCAAGTTTTTCTTAGATGTAAAAACAGTGTCTTTAGCTGGTTCTAAACTTTCTTCCTCTGCTAACAACCCCTTTTCTCTCCCCACCCCATCCGACTTCACATCACCGAGTCTAGTACCAGCTTTTAGGGACCTGAAAACTACTGGCGATAAGGTCAGTTGGGAAGTTAGGAGGTCAAGGATGTCGGAAATAAAGGTGTAAAAAAAACGCAGGAGGAACTGTTTTGTCTTTAAGACTCCGGAACCTCCAGGATTCCTGCAAAACCATTGGCAGCGTTTGCACATCGCCTTAAAGCCATCAGCGCCCCACTGCGGAATTCGAAGCTAAGCTGGTCACAATTGTTAACACCTTCTTTGACCAGCCTTTTTATATTTGACAATTATTCTCTTCTCTTTCTTGCCTGTAGGAAGGTCCTGCTGCCTTCGTTTTAGGGAGTCCCCTATACGGCGAACAGCCCCTTCCCGTGCAGAAGCCGGGGGACGATTTCCATCCGCTCGTCCGCCCTGCAGGGTGAGTAGGTTTCGAGGCTTAGAAAGCCGGGCTGGAGGTGGGGACGGAGAGTAAAAATTTTGGAAGTCCCTATGGGTTATCTTGAAAGTTAACGACGGTCCAGGCTGTGGGTTGGGCACAATGACCGCCTAGCCTGGGCAGCGCCGGACAGCCCCGTTTCCAAGAGGGCGCGGAGGCAGCGAGTCCCCGCTGAGCGCCGGCCCGTGGAGCTGCCTCCGACCGAGCAGGGAAGGAGATTTGCCCCCGGGAGCCCTCCCACTCTCGCCAACTTTCCGGGTCCCGGTGCCGGAGGAGGGCGCCTCTCCCGGAGGGGGCGCGCTCGGTACTTAAAGGCTCGGCGGGGCCGGCGCTCGT